GGATGGATCCGGAATGGATGGATGGATGCAGGATGAATACAGGATGGATACATGACGGGTGGATACGAGATAGGCATATATTAAATGGCCTATTTTTTAATGCTTTTCAAAAGATACGAATAGGCTTAGTCTCTACTTAATTACTTATTCCTTATTTCGCTTACAATGAGAAAAACGGAGGTAATTGTCACTTTTATGCTGCAATAGGGTGCGGAGCTTTGACATCCCATTCTAGCATTTGTTTCTTTGCATCTACAGTCTATGCCACCAGACAGTCATCCCACTGAGGACCATAAATCCACCTCCCTGGAGTCAGTATTGACACAACTAATAAGTAAATCCGTCGGATGTACCTCTTCAGAGACGACTTAGAGGAGGAGCTTCTTGGAGTTTCAGTTCTACTATTGACGTTAAGGATGCTATATTTTTTAGCTCAAGATGTCAATCAGTCACAAGAGATAAAATATTTAGGCGATGTGATGTATTTCCATCCAGTAAATGGCCCAGAGTCCGAAGTGAATACGTTTGATCAGAGTGCGGCTCGTTATTATTGTTGCCCTCCCTTAAATGACCAAAAATTAAGAGACAGGTAGCTTGGCAACTGAACTGAGAACTCATTCAGTTAACAGAAAGGATAGAACTGATTACGCAAATGCGGAGCTTAAAACTGTCACCTCCACAACTGCCTGATTTGGGGGCGAGAGGGGGTACCACCTCTTTCAATCATGACGACTTTCAAGTAAGCTAAGTGGTCTCCACACCCCGTTACGCCTTTTCAGCATCATACCAGTCCTTGTAGCACTTAAATGACTTTGTATAAGGCGTAGAATTGAAGGGCGAATTGAAGGAAACTTTACTAAAGGATGGAATATGGCACCTTCCCTGCATCATCTCAAAGAGTATTTATGGGATTCTTTTCACAACTTTGGAGCATCTGAGGCTAACTACAAGAATCTTCTGTGATTCAATGGAGTCTCTCATGTCTCAACCATATACGCATGCTTACTGATGGCCTCCCTTTGCGGGACCTCAACTGCCTCTCAGCTAACCCATGGAAGCAAGAAGATACACACAGTACTTGAGGCAAGTTGGTTCCAGTGTCTCATTTAAAAAACAAAGGCATAGTAAATGCAAAAGAACAACCTAAGTATGTTATTTTAGACTAAATTAATAGTATCTGTGATTGGCAACATTTTTAAGGATTCGCAGCTCCGGGATTGGCATCAAAGACCTCATGCATGGTACGTACTGCGACTGCGTCAACACTGTACACTAGCAAGGAGTGCAACCCCTTAAGAAGTAAGTCAGCGATATGCATTTTTTTGCCCTCCTCCTTGGCCATCTCATGGAACTCCTGCCTGCAGATGTTGATCATAGTTGGAAAACGCGGTTCAAATCTGATAAAATATGGTGCTGCCTTTCATCAGTTTCACGGAAAGATTGACCTGAAGGAATTAGGGGGCCTTGTGTTTGTCCTCGCAGGGATGGTGTCTGCCCCGCTCGATAATGATATGTTTGCCAGCACATATGCCAAAAAAATACAGAAGCAGCGGCATGTTCCACGACGGCGCTCTTAAGGGACTACTTGATCATGCGGTAATTGACGAGAAGTCGGTCTTGACTATCACATTGCTTACATTTTAATTAATTGAATTCTTTACTTAACGCATTCCGGTGTAAATTTTATGCTTTAGCAGGAGCCTGCAATAGGCCTTACGTTTTACGCGTCTATAGAGGGAAAATACTTTTTCCCGTTTTAATCTATGCGCAATTTCTATGCAATTTAAATGTCTTGTCTATTCGATTTGATACAATTTGTTCAATCTAGATTTGTGCTGGTGGAACTAAAATGGTTGTAGAAGATGCGCGTATTCTGTAGACAATTGTTTACTCCCTCCTTTGTTTAAACATATCTTAGGTGAGAGACGGTCAGCTTACGTTAACTACGCGACAGAGCGCATGCCTTTAGTCCCAGAGGGAAAACAAACTCGATATTCTTTATTACTTGGCAACCTGTAAACTGCTGTGTCATCACACTCTTTTCGCGCCAAAAATGAAAGGAAGGAACGTAGAATCTGTAACATTCGCAAATCCATTGCGCAACAGGTTTATGTATCAACATCACCGATTTAAACGATTTTAAATTTTGTGCTTAGAGAAATATCAAGCTTGTGGAACTGATGCACATTGATTATTTGATGCAGTAGGTAGTGATCCCAACTCCCAAGGATATCATTTAATAGCCGCAATATGAAACGTATTGCCAGATGGTTTACCTTGTTGTGGGAGATTTCATTAAGTTGCTAGGTCATCACTTGAGTTCACATAAACTGCGGCCTTGTAATTGCAAGAAGAGAAGCAGGTTCACCCATTTACACTTCAATCTTTAACACAAGCATTACCGCTATCACTAAAAGGTATTTTGAAATAAATTCAGCAGACAGTGGGAATCGAGAATTACTGAATAATATATTCAAAGCTGCTAATAAGTTATGAATTTCTGTAAAGAAGCGCCGAGTATTAAAAATGGTGTAGATGCAGGCTGAAGTATCTTGCATCCAGAAAGCACTAGTTGCTGCACTCTGAAGCGAAAAAGGTTACGCAAGTGACCATGCTTCGGTAATCTCACTTTCCTCTTATCTGTTATTCGCACACTTTTCATTTTATTCTAAAATTGTTCAGGAAGAGCAAACAATAAGTAAGCAGTAAAACTAGGTCACAAAAATGATAAAGAAGAAGCCTTACTTCCCCTATCATTATTATAATGTTGCCATTGACGGTAGAAAGAGCCATTTGGTATAATATTTGGTCAAAAACGCCAGTTTTGCATCAGCTATATGCCAAAGAATAAAACCAATTTTTCGGAAAAATCACTACCCATTGAAATGTGACTGTAGTTTCGTGCTGTGTATTAAAGCCAGGACCTAGGAAGCGCAGGCACTTAAGACTCCGTCATTGCATCTGTACTTAGAGGCTGAACCATTCCAGTGGTCTCTATTCCTTCTTTACGTAAGCATTGCACTTTATGCTCTAGTATGATCTCCTTTTAACTCCAGATTAACTCGAAGATCTTTAGTGGCAGAATACAAAATCCCAAGTAAGTGCTGTTCATAGCTTTGGCAAATTTTTTGCACAAGAATGATCCTCTGGGCATTAAAAAAAAGCAATAATATGCGGTGTCTGAAGCTAATCTGCGTAGGTGAGACTCCTTCCTACATCAAAGAAGTCTCAAAAATTAAAATATTTTTTGCTAAAAATGTGACAATAATTTTAAAGTTTAAAAAAACACAAGCTTCAATTTTGAAATGAGATGATTAATATGTGCCACTTCAGGTGTTTAACCGCACCGATGACAGTTCTGTGATTGCCGCTAGGTTTGAGGCTGTGGTCATCGTAATAGCATCAGATGTCCAGTCAATAGAATGTACATTTCTACCATCCAATGCATATTTTGCGTCGTGTATGTATGTTTTGGTAGTATTAAGTTGGGGAACTTAGTGATTGTTGTTTCACTAGGTTTGGAACATCCTGTCCTCCATTGCATTGTTTCTGTTTTCTTCATTTATGGTCTTTTGCTCATAACTTAATTTTGCAATATTTGTCCCTATTCTTCCGAGCGTTACTAGGCTTACTAATGCCAATATTTTAAGAGCTTGATGTTGAAGGCTATGCTTTTCGCGTTGCTGCTTCATTGAGTAAGGCCATTATCCCATTACCTTGACTATTTCAGCTTCTAACTCTCCACAATGTCCCCGGATGTCCATTCTCATTGCGAGCAGCGGCGTCTTTTGTTTGATTTACCATCTTTGAATGATGAGTGTGACTTAACAGCAAAACTCGAGGTGCATTGGAATATGCATCTTTACAGCAAACTACAGGCACTCAATGCGGTTAGTTTTGAAATGTCATTTGAAATTCTCCCTCGTTAAACCTGTTCCCCCTAGCGCGGTTCATTTGTGCCTTCAGGAGTGTATGTCAATGGGTCTCTCGCTGTATCTTCGCAAATCGGACTCTCACTCTGGCATAATCGCTTTCATTGGTCTTGCCACTGCTTTTTATGAACTCTTCGAACAACATCTACGATGTCTTAATGCGCGTGAAGATATTGACATCGAGCAAGTTTCGTCGTCGGATACTTTTTCCTCCAACTGGTTCGAATTTTTGCAGCGTTCACCTACTGACGGTGGATTTGGAGCACCTGTGGAAAATGTATGACCGTTGTAAAGAGGAGCCTTAAATCGGACGTGATGCGGTACACCAGGCCAAGGGACGCGAAAAGAGGCTTTGAACAGAAAAGCCAACTCTTTATAATCAGCTTCAGGCCTCTAAGGAGGCTGTAAGTCTTCTGCCACTTTTGCATTTACTCGAACAGGTGGCGCAAATGTGGAATCTTGCCCCCTCATTGTCCTATCTTAAGTCGTAAAATGTTGTTAAGATGACTAAGTCGCGACTTTAGTAGTCGTAGAATATCCCTCAGGCGTGGCTCCTCTTGAAGATCATAAATACATACTTTGTTTTAGAATGGTAAGACTGTTAGATCTGAGTGGTCAGACGGAAAATACTACCTTGTATTCGATGGGATTGTGCAATCTGAAACATATAAGCGTTGCAAGCTGGTTAAGTTTGATTACTTTTATAAAAGGGTGAATTAGCGGATTACAAAAGAATGACGAAACCCAAACACACGATCGTCTCTAGCCGATAGAAAATGGGGTTTGGGCAGCTAGCTGACTATTGCTTCTCGCCCGATCACTGTTTTTGCCGTTGGTAAATCCTGGTGAATTATAAGCAGTGGTTATGACTACGTAATCAGATGAATTTAATTTGTCACCCAGTTTTTTAGTAAACATTCAGCGCAATTAATTCTGTAACAAATATCCCGTGTAGCTCGATTTCATGTAGAATTGGCTAAAATTGGTACTCTGTTGACCCATCAACGCCTTTGAGTTAACTGAAGGTAGTTATGTCTGGCGTTCACGTTAGGCTGGGGCCTCGATGTTTTCACCCTTCTAGGGGCATACTACCAAGGCGATAATCCTCGTAATAATTGTTGTGCATATCATTGGTTATTTTAGTTCAGACCCCGTACATCGAGACGACGAGCTACGGTAGTAGGACCTTCCTGGCGTGTTGTCTGGTGATGGGGAAAAGTTCTTGAGAACCAAAACGTCAAACCAGAATCGGTGGATCTTCGCATCTACTCCTATCTGTAGAAGACTGACCACCGCTAATGTAGTGATGGGAAGATTGGCCAGTCGATTGTAAGACTTCTGATTGAATTGTGCAAGAACTTCAAACACGATCGTTTGTCTGTGCGTCAGTGACGATCCCGAGTGCAGCAGTTCCGTTCCTAGCTCAGACCACAGTGTTTTGTTTTGGTTCGCTTTAAAAACTTAGTGTGGGACGCTTGATCAGCTCATTAGCATAAAATCGCACAAAATTTTTCCTTGAGAACGGTGCAGACAACTATTAACGACCATTGTTTTTATTTAAAGTAGCTCACTCTGGGTGCCTTGACAGTCTGCCATTTTTATCTAGCATGGAAGAAGACCGTTTTAGGGTGGTTTGGACCTACTGGCAAATCTTACTGTGTGGAAATTTCCAAGGTTTTGATCAGACTCGGGGACAAATGTATGGAGTAGCGGCTGACTATATCAGGAAGTAAACGCAACTTTTACCACTTAAATCTTATTCCTTTACGAGCTCAAAACTCGTAGTTTGACTTAAACGTATCTACGTTGGTGTCAGAGCTCTTATTTTTCAGATTGCATTGTTGACTCAGTGGGCAATGGTGGATTAATAGTAATAAGGTAGTAGTAGATGCCGGAATTGAGGCCGGAAAGACATCTTCTGAATTCTATTCCTCACTTTATTTCCATGGTTTAGTCGCCAGTGATCCGATTTTCAACTGCGCAGTACGCTTTTTCAACACAAGTTGAATAAACTGGAGGAGACTATGGTTCTTAAAAATCGACTTAGCTCTCTCCTGGAGAATTCAATGGCCGCACGTCGTCTTCTTTCCGTTCATGAGACTATCAACTCGGCGAAAATGCGAGGTCAGGTACATTTTTGTCCCTACCTACTGACAAAGGGATGCATTAGTCTTTTAGTTTTTGTGGGTGATTCATGCTCCATTTGGATAAACTGCTCCCACTTGCTCCCAAAGGGACAATAAGATGTGGAAGATTTTAGCTGCCAGCCTCAAATATGGCCTTGACGCTCCTCATAAGTCGGTAGGATATGTTTTCTCAGAAATTTACTTAATCTGCCATTTATAACGTAGTGTCGTGGAAGTGATTTCCACTAACTCTCAATGATTATAACGCCTCAAATGAATCAGCCCAAGATATCTAAGTGGGAGAGCTGGGGTAAAGGTATTCACGAAAATCGTCAGGGCAACTCCTCCCATCCAGTGTTTGGCAGTCATTTCTAGTGTTTGATTGTGGGAATTTAAGTTAATCAGCAATAGCTCCTACTTATCCATCGCGAGTTTTGTTAATTTTCTGGACTCGTCGGCCGAATTTGCAGTCTTGGGTAACAACTCCTCATAAATGATGTTGTTAATCTAATGGTCAACATTTTCTATCGCCTCACAGTGCAGCAAATTTGAGCACCTGCCTTTACAAGTGGTACCATTAGACCGCCTTGAAAATCAGCATTATGAGATTCATGATATATCTTAAAGTGTTCTCCGTTGGCTCATGTTTCTTGCCAAGTTGTAGTAGGCAGTAAATGCAGTTGCTTATTTAAATGGCAAATGTAGAGGTTATTGGTGGATTTGAAAGTCCCACTATCCCTTTGACCTCACAATGAGATTTAAGTGAAGTTGGAAGGACAACACCACAAAATAATCCCTCCTGATCTGCAAAAGTTTTTAGGTTCGTTTAAAGCTTCAATGCATTTTACATTGTTGTAATCTACTCAATAAATTGATAGATTTCAATTTTGTTTTATTTTAAAAGGTCGATTTAAAAGAGCCGATCGAGGGTGGTTTTGCAGAAATTGTCTACTGAATGGATTTCCCCAAACTGGATGATTGACAACCATGTGTGGAGTATCGGTGAAGAAATCATTCCGTCACGTATGATCATTACGAATTTCTTAATCATCCAAATTTGATGGGATTTGAAATATACCCAACTTTCTCATTTCTTTGCACGTTGTCATTGCTGAAGTGATCCTTCCAGTTTTTATAACCAATGTGGACAGCCCCAAATTTCAGCTAAATAAGTTTTACACAGTTCAAAACGTAACCTATGAACAAGTAAGCAGGCCGATGAGGTCCTCTTTCAACTGCTATAGTCTTGAAACTCTACCACGGACAGACCAAGGGTGAAAAATTACAAGCTGCCTCCTCTTCCCATTCGAACTCAGTTGTCAATGTTTTGTATTAAACTAGGCGGTGAATGAAGTATATTCTTCTCGATAAGAACGCAATGAAGCGGTAAAATAGTTTGGACTCCTAAGGTTCGCAGTTTTGTGAACGGCGCAGTCTACAAATGTCACTTAAACTGTGCAATCTCTAACAATGTAAAGCTACTTTGAATCCGTTTCTCACACATTCCACTGTCATTTAAACGGTGAAGTTGTATTGACATTTTATAAAACAAGTAAAGTCTCATCGAGAACTGGATACGATGATTAAACAACATTAGAAGTGAAAAACTAACTTTCACTTGCTATTTTTCCATTGAAATTTCAATACTTCCAATGTGATGGATTGTTGAAGGAAAGCGGTGAAACCGAGTTTTATTGGAGAGAGAGAGAGGCGCATCCTGCAACGTAAACAGAGCAGGCAAAATCGCAGAGTCGAGATTTAAAAGCTGTCTACCGGGTCCCTTTACTCTAGGCATTGATAGCAAAACTGCCTCAGCTTACAATAGTAAAGACCAAGCATGCACAGATGTTATACCCATGCCTTTTGTCTTTATCCAACCTGCAGTGTGTTGGAGCACCATCGCAACCGCGAAAACGAACTGTTCCAAGAGAATCGAGAGCTGCAGAACCTCGTCTCTGTCCCCTCCGCACGAATGCTTCGATTTGCCCATCGCCTGCGCCAAAAAAGGCGACTACGTCAGCTCCTTGGGGCGACGCCGGAGGTGCAGTTGGCGATGGATGTGGCGGTGGTGTCTTTAGACGGTGGAATGGAAAATGACTTTTCCGATACGTCTTCTGATTCTTCCCTGTCTGGTAAGTTTCGAAAATCGACTAAATCATTTACCGTAGGAAACATTCTTTTCTTTTCCCACAATTGGGAGATATATAAATATTTGTGGCGTCTGTAAAATGGCTTTCTCACAAGGTTTGTCTTTTTGGGGAAAATAGGCTGCAAAACATTGCATTTTAAGCAGTATAATAGTACCAAGTTAATAATAAGGGGTTTCTTCAGTAGATAAATTTGAGGAAATTCCAAATACCTAGCCTTAAGATACTCTTGCTTTCCTCTTTGGTCTAGTAACTTGTTAGTGTTCTCAAAACTAACTCCAAGGAAGAAAACGGCTCCAAATTTTCATTTCTTCTCTACAAATTCTTTTTAAAAGTCGGGTGGTAGGAGCTGAAACGAGGTTCGGTCACATCATGCTGGTATTTGCAATTTCATCACGGCGCTCGGAAGAGGATGCAACCGTGATCGCACCAGGCACATAGCAAGTGACAAGTCTGTGTTGCCACTCCTTTCAATAACCGACGCACATATCGTAGACCTGCCCACCCTGGATACTGTTCATCAAGATGGCAAATAACGGTATTGCTACCCCCGTGACGTAGGCTTTGGTGATGGGCAAAGTTCTTCGTAAGACAAAACGTCAAACCAGCGTCGGTGGGCACTTGCATCGACTCTTATCTGTGGAAGACTGTGACGGCGATGGGGAGACCGGGATTTTGATTGAATGGTGTCAACATTTCGAACACGGCCGCTCATCTGTACCTCATTGACAATTCCGGCCGTGGTGGCGTCTTACCTATGGTGGTCATTCCTATGGACATTATGTCATCACTTGG